GCACGGGGCACCGCAGGAGCTCTGGTCCTCACGGTGCTAGAGGTGGGGCTGCGGTCCCCGGGCCGAGCCGTGATGGCCGAGCTGGGCGGGAAGCTGGGAGAGGCCCTCCACCCCCTCAGGACCCCCCCAGACCCTGGCCCTGTGCCAGCCCCACCACGGGCTTCCCTGGGCTGCCAAGGCGAGGTCTCCAGTGGACGTCCCTGCCTGGGTGGGCCCGGACCCTGAACCCTGGTGGCAGAACAGAAACTTGGGAGCACGACCCTCAGGGCCTTTCAGCGGCTTCCTGGGTATTCACAGCAGCTGTGTTCCAGACACCTCTCAGGGCGTGTGGACGCCCCTCTTGTAGTTCCTTCCCCATCATGCATGCACGCACCATGCAGGGCACTCACTTCCTCACGTCCCGGCTCCCGGCCCAGTAGCCCCCAAGAGCGACAGTGCCCACGGCCATGATGAAGATGATGACCATGTTGTAGTCCAGCATGGGCTCCTTGGGTGCGTACAGTGCTGCCCGCACCGCCTGGCCGAAAGTCTGCCCGGGAGAACACAGCCGAGCTTCAGGTCCCCTCCCCAGCCAGGGAGCCGAGGCCAACCCACGCCAGGGGCTGGGGGCTGGGAGACCCTGCCTCGCCCCACACCCTCACCCACCACTCCTGACCCCAAAGAAGTGGGATCTGCCGGGACAAGCTTTGCACAGGGCGGGCGAGGGGCCCACAGACCCTGCACCCCGCCGTGTGTGTGAACGAGGTGGGTGCAGCCTGGGCGGGATGAGGAGATGTGGAGCCTGCAGTGGGGATCGGGACATCTGCTGTGAACCCTGGAAGTGTCTGCAAAGACTGGCTCTTCCCATGTCCCCTGTGTGCTGAAGCTCGCCTGCTCGGGACCCAACTCCCCAGATCAAAGGGCAATGGGGCCTCTGGTCCATGGGGCCAGGCAAGTGTGAGCAGCCAGGAGGGCATGAGGAGGGGTGACGCGCAGGGGCTCCGGCACGTGGGCAGAGAGCCCCTGGGGCCTGGGCGGCTGCAGCCGGGCAGAGCCTCTGGCGCCAAGGTTCTGCTGCTGGCGCTCACAGCACCGTGGGCACACTGCTCCTCGGGCCTAGACGCGGCTGCAGGCAGGAGTGGGGCTCCACCTGGAAGATGTCCAGCATGTCTCTGTGGCTGAGCAGGGCCACAGGGATGCCGATCTCATCATACTGAGTCTTGTTGCCTCCTGGGGGGGACCTGGGGGAGGGGTGGGGGAGGGCAGTCAGACGCCCACGGGGGTGGGGAGGCTGCCAACTCGCCCCACAGCTCAGCCGCAGAGCCAGCTCCTCTCCCTCAGAGAGCAGAAGAGTCCCTCATGTGTCCTCGGGGACCCAGAGGGGAAGGGGACACGGCCAGGAGGGCAGCCTGCGGGCTCAACCCCTCCCGCTGGGGTTGGGTGGCACCAGTCGGCCCGGAGGGCCTGGGGGAGAGGCTGTTCCTCAGATGGCACGCCCAGAGTTCCAATCCCAGCACTGCTGGCCCCCCAGGCCTGCTCAAGACCATGGCCCAAAGGCCCATGCCACAGCAAGGAAGCCAACTCCTCGTCTCCCCCCGCCTGCTCACTGTCCCACCGCCTCAAGCCCTTGCCCGGGCCGGGCTTCCCAGGGTCTCGGCGGCCGTACCAGCGCCTCCTTGCTGACGATGAGCAGCCCACGGGCCCCACTGCCCTGGGCCAGCCTCACTTTCTCGTAGAAGGTGCAGTTCCCCCGCGCCACCACGGGGAGCTGGTTCGTGAAGCCTTTGGCAGGGAGACTGGAGGGAGAGCAGAGCACGGAGGCCGTCCAGTCCCGCACCTGCAGGAGAGACTGAGGGAGGGCGGCGTTCACGCCGCTACCCGGGGGCTCCAGGCCACCCACACAGCCTCACCTCGACCCCCCGTCTCAGCCCCTCATGGCACTGGGGGTGCTGCACACACACACCTGTGCACACGCACACACCCCCCGAGAACCAGGCAGGCTGGAGGGGCGTGGAGCGGCGTGTGCTCAGGGGAACCACTCAGAAATCCTTCCTGTGTCTCTCCAGTCCATTGCTAACACCACAAAGGGCAGGTGGGAGCGCTGGCCTCTGTGGGGAGCATCCGCCCCCCAACTGAGCCCCTGGTGGGCTCCCCGAGTCCCTCTGGGAGGGGTGAGGCCAGACCAGGCAGCAGCGTGTCTGGGCTGCCCACCCACCCCCTGCCCTGACTCCTCTCAGGACCCCGCTGCCAACACCCCCGTCCAGCATGGGCTGGGGGGTGGCTGGTGTCCCCTCCAGGGGCCGATCCTTGGCAGGGCCCTGACACCTGTCCTTTATGACCAGAGAAACCAGGGCCCAGAGAGGTTAGGGAGCTCCTCGGGGGAAGCCCCTGCAGCACCAGCGGAGGTCTTTCCTCCATCCCCAGCAGCTCTCTGCAAGGTGAGTCCCCAGAGGCCCCGGGGAGGGGCAGAGGGAGGGCGGCAGCTGAGACAGACAAGACTCTGAGGCAGATGCCACGGGGGGAGCCCCCAGGGAGGGCCTCAGCCGGCACTCACCGCTTTGCCGAGGTCGTGCGGCAGGTGGGCCCACTGCGGATTGTACAGGATGCAGTAGTCCTTGCCTCTGGGGCCGCCTGTCTCGGGCACCACATGCACCATGCCGTACTCACAGGCCACCTGGATGAGGGGGACGGCAGAGGGCTCAGCTCGGGCTTTCCCACTGCACCACCTGGCTGGGGACAGTTCCCTCCCTCCAGCAGGACAGCCAGGGCCCGACCACACACGTCTTAGGGTGGGGACACTAAGGAGGGCCAGGGAAGCCTCCTCAGGGAGACCTGGGTGCTGACCACAACCGTGCCACGTCCCTTCCCTGGGGCTCCGAGGGCAGGAAAGGGGGAGCCCTCCTGGGACTGACAGGACAGGGGATGAGAGCCCCACACCTCTGTCAGCAGGCAGGGTGGGTCGACAGATCCGTTCCCAGGCCTAAAGGGTCTCCCGGCGCCCCAGCAGGTTCAGGGCTCACCCTAGACCCACAGGCTCCTGGGAAAATGGCCTGTGAGCCACCGAGCTAAGGCCCTGTGGGCTAGCACTTCACTTTCCCAGGGGATGGTGGAGCCCAGGTCATGTGACCAGCACCTGCCAGGACCCAGGCCAGTGGGTCACAGCCCCCACCTCCACGGCTCAGGGTGTGGCAGGAAGGGGACAGTGCGAGGGGCTGGGCTACCCTGGGCGGGGGCTGCTCCAGTCACAACAGATGGAGTCATGGGGGCAGCAGCATTCCCTCCCCAGCACATCCCGGCCAGCAGAGCACCACTCCTGAGAGCCGCGGGCAGCGGGACTGCCCGGGCTTCCTGGCCCACTACTCCCAGGAAGGGGGCCAGAGTGCCAGTGGCCAGCCTCCAGTTCCTCCTGCTAGGGTGTTCACGGAGGGCCTCACAGAGTCCGCATGGACCCCCACCTGCTCTGACATGGAGTAGGGTCTAGGGCGGTGGGCTGATGGTAGAGGACAGGGTGGCCGGACACACCGGCCAGTGGGGCCGTGGCTCCGAGTCTGAATGCAAAGCGAGGCAGAGGGGCAGGACCCCGAGTCCCCAGAACACTGGACCCCTCCGTCGAGGGCAGTCGAGTGGCCAGGGCCTGGGGCAGGAGGGGCTGGCTCTCACCTTTCCCCGTTTAATGCCAAGTGGCTCTGTCTATGTGAAACAGCAGCACTTCACAGAACTGTCCCCACCACCTGCTCGCCCTCCCTCCTGCCTGGACCACTGTGTCCCTTCCCACACACTGGGCTCGGCCAGGCCCACAGAGCCCCCACGAGGACTCAGTGGGTTTCACAGCATCAGGCCCAGGTCCGGGCTGCTCTGCCCCTGGGCAGGCTCACCCTGGGTCAGAGGGAGGAGAGGTCACAGAGAGCCTCATGCCAGGAGCCCGGCCATGTCCAGGCATGGGCCCTGAGCCCTCCCTGGCCCTTTGGCTTCTTGGGGCTGGAAGGACCTGACTGGACCCCAACTCGCGTACTGCACACTCGGTCAGGCTCTTGGGGCCTACCCTTTCGTGTTGCCTGGAGACCGAGACGGGGACCACATTGCTCAGTGTCCCTGAGGATCTGCCCTGGAGACATGTGGCAGCAGTTTGGCCACACCCACATGCCGGGGACAGACCCATGCCCAAAGGTGGCCTCAGACTGCAGCTTGGGGGAGCTCCAGCTTGGCGGGGGTCCTGACGGTCAGTGGCCTTGACAACTGGCCTGGCCCTTGGTGAGAGCACAGCAGGGACCTGCGGCAGGATTAGGAATCCCAGCCCCCAGGCTCTTCCCACCAGACCACCCCCAGACCAAGCCCAGCCCTGCGCTCCTGGAGAGGGGCCGTCCCTGCTCACAGCCCCCGGCACCCCCTCAACTGGCTCCCGTAGGCAGGGCCTATGCCGCTCTCGCTGCGACTGCAGAGCTGGGCAGTTACAACAGAGGCCAAGTGGCCTGAAAAGCCCAACATGGGTTTGGTCCTTGGGAAAATGCTTGCTGACCCCTGGTCTACGGGGTCCAAGCTGCTGGTGAAAACAGTCCTTTGTGTAAAATGGGGATGGACATAGATATTCCTTTTTAAAGAGATCACTTAAAAGCAAAAGTGAAAAACATTTTTTAAGCGGGGAGGGTATAGCTTAGTGGTGTGCTCAGTATAAGCACAAGGCCCTTGGTTCAATCCCCAGTAACTCCATTAAAAGTACATAAACCTAATTCCTCCTAAAGTAAAATTTTTTTTACGTTTTAAAAAAATGTAAAAGTACGAGTGCAGACTTCACAAATCCCACCCCCCTTACAATTTGCGTTAAGAAATAAACCCGGGCTGGTATCGAACACCAGAGAGCGCAGTTTCCCTGTAAGCGTGGTCTCCTCCCTATGGAGTTAAAGGGCTGGGGGAAGTTCTTCCAGAGGACCCGGGGCTGAGTGTCCCAAGTTCTAGCACGGCCCATCCCAGTGTGGAGAACCAGAAACAGTCGGGACTACCAAGGAGGGCCACCTCCCGACATGCCGAAGGTTCGGCAGCTTCTGGGGAAACTGTGCCTCAAGAGGAGGAAAACATCCACATCAGGAGGTTCAAGAGCAGCTAATGGGTCCAGGCTGGGAGCACTCTTCCTAAGATGGCGAGTTCCAGGAGAGCGTGGGATAATTAGGACCTGGGAAGCTTAGGAAAAGATGTTCAGGTGGAGGACAGGGAGGGAGGGGGAGAGGGACGGGGCAGGGGGCAGTGGAGGGGTGAAGGGGCAGAAGGAGCTGGGGCAGATCTGCTGAGTAGCAAGCCCCACACAGGCCTTTACAGGGCTGACAGCACCTGGGGGGTGGGTCTGCCCGGGGAGGTCCAGCCCCTTGCCCAAGGTCACAGGATGGTGGAGGGTGAGTTTAGGGCTGTGAGCAAACAGCGCCCTGCCCCAGGGAAGGTGGGTCTCACTCTCGGCTACTAGGAAGAACCACACCCAGGGCTCTGTTCTAGGAAGAGCTGGCCAGGGCCCCCCACTCCCTCCAACGCTCTCCACGGCCCCTACACTCAGGGTAAAGTTCAAAATCCTCAGCCAGCAGGGAACAAGCCCAGATGCCCCAGCACATGAGCCTTCCAGCACCAGACCCCACTCGCCAGCCCACTCCCCTGCACCCAGCCCCGGGAGGCCGCAGGCTGGAGCCACTCCCACTGCCGCTCCCCCTCCGGCCCCCCAGCTGAGGGGGAAACCCCAGCCTCCCTGCGCGGGCACCTGAAGGGCCTCCACTGCGGTGACACCTTTCTCAGGTGTCACCACTGTACCACCCCACAGGCCAGCCGCCGTGGACCTGCACCGTCTCTAGATCATCTGGGCCTGCTCCCATCACCTGCAACACCCTCCTTCTACCTTCGTGACCGAGCAAACTCCTACTCATCCTTCAGAGCGCCCCTTGGGCACCCCTGCTTCTGAAAAGCATTCCCAGGCAAACTGAGTCCCTCCTCTGGTGGCGTTCCCATGACCCTCCAACCACCTCTCCCTTTGCCCTCGTTTGAAACACCTGGAGAGCTCAAAGTCCCTGCCTCCAACTGCTCAGGCTGCTGAGAAGGATGAATCAACAGGGCTAAGGGAAGTCTGAGAGCTGGCAAAGCAGCTGAGGAGGGGGCCTCCCAGAGAGCTACCGGGAGGGAGGGACAGCTAAGGTGAGACCAGAAAGATGACCAGGGAATTCAGGGAAACAAAGAAGACCAGCGAGCAGAGGGCCTTCAGTATAGAGGCGGAAAGAAAGGGGAGCTTCCTGACAGCCAGATCACAGACGCCTCCTGAATGCACCAGGAACCACCAGAAGGCTCTTATCTGGACACAAGCCCTGACATACTTTGAAGGAGATCACTCCTGCCACGTTGAGTATGAACTGGGGATGCAGCGGGGGACAAAAGTGGCCTCGGGGAGAATGTCAGCCTCCTGGAGCAGAGGCTGGGGGGTGGGCTGGAGCAGACAGCTCAAGGTTAACAGCCCAGTTTGTAAGGTTGTTTAGGGGCACCATTTCCTGAGCTGAGGGACCCGGAAGAGAGGGAACATTAGGAAATAAAAGATGCGCTTATGACAATGTACATCAGCCGTCTCGTGGCCAGTCCCCCATCTGCACCGGAGACCCTTAACTTTAAGCAACCAAGAAGTAACATGCTGCGCGTTCATGACCCCAAACATCATCTCACTGACTCCGCACTGTACCCTTATCCTCCTTTTGCAGGCGGGCAACTGACGCTCAAAACGGGGAACTCCCTTAGCCAAGGTCACAGGAGGAAAAGATGGGGTGGCGATTCAACCCCATTCCAGGGCTGGGGTCCTGGCCGCTTCCCGACACTGCCAGACACTGGGTGCCACGCTGGACAGTTTACCACAACCATGGGAGGGCCGAGGCAGCATGGCGCCCAAGGGGAAACTGAGGCTCGGAGAGCGGCAGCCCCCTGGCCAAGGCCACGGAGCCAGAGAGGGGCATCCCGGGCTACAGTTGGAGACGCCGAGACAGACCAGCAGGCCCGGGAGGAGAAGGGGGGGCCCCAAACTTCAGACTCGGGCGGGACCAGGTGACGGTGAGGCAGGGAAGGGCTTCCAGGCGGGGAAGGGAGACGGGCCGGGGACAGGCTCACAAGGTCACGGTCGGACCCCGGGCCCGTGGGCCGCCCGCGAGGGGGGCGCGGATCCCCGAGGCTGGACCCCAGGCCTGGCCGGGCGGGGCCTTGCGCGGGGCGGAAGGGCCGAGGGGCTGGGGCACCGCAGCCGGCGGGGCCGGCGGAGTCGGCGCCGCCCTCACCTGGGCCGTGAGGAGGAGGAAAGCCGCCGCTAGCCGCGCCAGCGCCGCAGCCGCCGCCATGTCGCCGGGTCCCCGCCGCAGGCGTCGGCAGATGTTTCCCAGCAACGCCCCGGCGCTCTCGCGGCGTCGCGCAAGCGCCGTGCGTCCGCCACGCATGCGCGCGGGCAGGGGGCAAAGGGCACGGCGGGGGCGCCTGCGCACAGCGGCGCGGCGCGGCAAGATGGCGGTGAGCGTGCAGCGGCGCTCCCGGGGCTGGCGGGGCTGGCGGGGCTGACCCTGGCCGAGCTCCCGGACTTACGCTCTCTGCTTTCCCCGCAGGACAAAGAAAAGAAGAAGAAGGAGAGCATCTTGGATCTGTCCAAGTACATAGACAAGACGATCCGCGTGAAATTCCAGGGAGGTCGCGAAGGTGAGGCCCCGCCGTCCCTCCCCTCCCCGACCGCATCCACGAGGAGTACCCGCGGCAGTGCTGATAACGGATGCCTGGGCCCCGCTTTAAGCGTTTGGCCCTGACAACTTGTGCCGGCCAGTTGACGGCCGCAGGAAGTAGGAACGGTAACGCCCCTTTTGCAGGTGGAGAAGCTGGCCCAGAAAGGGGACCGACCTAACCTGAGGCCGCGTGGTTGGGCTTCACGACTCCGCCTCTTGTGGGTCCTCTCACCAGGCGGCTGCTCCAGCTCCTCACTGGTCCCCCTGCACCAGAGCTTCCGGGCTCGGCGCTGCTCACATTGGGGCCACATTGCTTTCCTCGTGGGGGCCGTCATGGGCACTGTGGGGTGTGGAGCAGCATCCCTGGCCCCACCCACCCGATACCAGGAGATCCCCCCAGTCCTGACAAGCACAGATGTTACCAGACATCGCCCAGAATTGCCCCAGTTGAGAACCCTGTCCCTAAAGTCAGTTTCAGTGAAGCTGCCAGGTGGACCTCTTAGAAACAAACGGCATCCTGTTCACCGCTGTTTCAGGGTAAAGGATCAACCTCTTGTACCTGAGTAAGGCAGGGAGCTCTTGACTACCACTGGGCTGTAAAGGTACCTGTTTTGCCTCTGCCTGGAGTGCTCTTACCAGGATAACTGGTTACCAGGTTAATTCAGTCATTGTCTCCACCAGCGACTCAGGCTCTTGCTCTAGGAAGCCTTCCCTGACCCGCTACACCAGGTCAGGCCCGTTTATTATAAGCTCCAGGTAGCACTTGGCACAGCTTGCAGCTTTATGAAGCTTTACACTCGTTGTGGGGAGGCTTTAACTCTGCATCTCCTGCTGGAATCTGGTGAGGAGACAGCAGGAAGGAGTTCGGGCTGCAGGCTGGGCAGCCCGTGGCAGAGCCCCAGCTCATCCGCTCATTGGCTGTGGAACTTTGGGCAGGTTGCTACCCTCTCTGAGCTTCAGTCTCCTCATTCGTGAAAGGCTATTAACTCCACGCACCTCAGCAGCAGCAGTGAGATTAAAGGGTGAAAGGCGACTAACGTCTGGCTGGGTTCCGGGCACTTAGGGAGCGCCCGGTCTGCACCCTCCTTCTTCAGCTGCCTCTGGTCTTCAGTTTCATCTTGTAAGACAGCGACCCAGACCCCTCGTCCTCTGAGACGTGCATGACTGGGCGGCATCAGGGTGCCTAGAGACACGGCGCCAGCCAGTCGAGGTGCCCGGCGCAGTGAGAGTCTGAGTCCGCACAAACCCTGGCACCACGCTGGCTCTGGGAAGTGTGCAGAGACAAGGCTTCTGCTTCTCAGGGCACCTGTGTTTGTCTTCCACACTGCGGAGCAAGTGGCCACCCATTAGCAGCTTAAATGACACAGATTCTTATCTGACAGCATGTGGGGCTCTGGGTTCTGGGTGCCTGGGGCCCAGGTCTCTGCCGAGGTTGCAGTAAAGGAGCCCCTCTGCAAGCCTGTCTCGCAGGCCCACCCACCGGTCGATCCCCGAAGTTGTAGGACCAGGATCCCCGTCTTCTGGCTGGAGTTGGCCAGGGACCCTCTGGGCTCCCGTCCGCAGCGCGGCAGTCTGCTTCTTCAAGACCAGCAGGAAAATCTTGTTTTTCAAATCTTTTGTCAGAGAGAGGCCATTCCTTTAAGTGCTCACCTTTCAGGACAGGACCCCACCACCACCGCGCAGTCTCCCTTTATTTTCACTGAAAGTTGACCAACTCATAGACCTTAGTTACCTCTGCGAAGCCTCCTGTCTCTGTCATAACCTGACCGTGGAGAGACATCCCATCGTGTTCCCGGGTCCCCTCCCACACCAAGGGGATGGGGTTCCCTAGGCTTGTTCGTTGGGTGGGGAGTGCTGGCTCTGTCTCTGTCTCAGAATCCCACCCACCTGCCTCAGGGGTCCCATCCCGGTGGGGAAGGCAGACCCTGGGTGCAGGCGCGCTGCTTTGGCTGCAGCCAGTGCCCGAAAATGTTATCACATTTGTCACTCCAGCACCCCGTTAGGTGCTGTCATGGTCCTGGATCCACAGGAGGGGGACGAGCAGGAACAGAGCTGGGCTTTTGCTCAGGCGGGGCTGGCACTTTCCCTGTGGAAGACCAGACAGTGAATATTTTCAGCTTTTCAGGGCAGACGGTCTCTGTCACAACTACTCAACTCTGCTGTTGCAGCAGGAGAACAGCCACAGGCGACACTTAACAAATGAGCGTGGCCAGGTGCCAGCTAAACTATTTACAAAACGGGCGCAGGCAGATCTTGCCGACTGTTCTGGGGGGGTTACTTTGGGGTCAGCTGTCACTGCTCCCGTTCCAGGGGCCCTTCCCTCACCTTCCCCATGGTCCCCCGCCTGTCCTGTCCCTGGAGAGGCTGCTCCCACCTTGTGTCTGGCCGGAAAGCGAGCCCCTCACCGGGGGGCGCCCCCGTCTTCGTGTGCTGACTCCCCAGTAAAGTTGGCGCCTGCCCCAGTGTCCGTAGCCTCACGCCTCTCCATTTCTCTTCTGTCCTCGGTGATTCCGACAAGCCAGTGGAATCCTGAAAGGGTTTGACCCGCTCCTCAACCTCGTGCTGGACGGCACCATCGAGTACATGAGAGGTGAGTGAGCCGGCAGCCCGGCAGCGTCCTTGCCGGGCCTTCCTTGCTGTGCCAGACCCGCCAGGCGCCACACGGGGGATGACGTGAATGCGGCGCCCTGCGGGCAAGCGGCGTGCTTGATCTCTGCAAGCTTCAGGAGGCCGCCATCAGAGACGGGCAGCATTCCACTGGCCTCGTCACCCGTCCCGAGCGCGTGCGGGGGCGCTGTGAGACGAGACAGCTGGCTGCCCAGGGCTCGTCCAGCCCCCTTGTCCCTTGCCCCTTTTCCCTTCCCTCCAAGTCCCCAGGCCCTCCGCACACGGTCCAGCCGGTCCTGGCCCATTAACCAGCAAGTCCTCCAGCTTAGCCTGACTCAGGCATGAAGGGGGCGTGGGCAGGGGCAGGGGTCTTGCCCCCTAGCAACTGTTGATGTTGAGTCACAGGCTACCCTGGCTGAGACTTCACCCAGCCGCTCAGAAGCGTCGCAGACCAGCGAGGAGGGGCGCTCTGTGGGAGGAGCGACCCCGTGGGGCCTCTTGCTTTGCCCTTGTTTTCTGTCTTCCCGCTGGTCTGCCCTGAGCCCCCCGCTGGGATCCTGGCGGCCTCCCTGGGGGTCGGCTTTCTGGGTCAGGACAGGCTCACCTCACAGGGCTGCTGGGAGACCAGGTGAGTTGGGGTGTGCCCCTGGGCCACCGCTGCCCTTACTTCTGGAGAGCCTGCTCCCACGGGGCCCAGGCTCCGGAGCCGCACCCCGACTCCGTCTCTGATCGTACTGGGCGTCGCAGTGACAGTAATGGAGACTTAACTGCCGTGACCTCAGAAGGGCGCTCCCTGGAGTGTTGTCACCTCCTCAGGTCGATCCCCCCATGTGAGCAGCGCAGTGACCCCGGGGGTGGGTGGTGGGCCGCATGGCTTCTGGGATTTTGCATGTGGGTTTTTATTCTGGTTGCCCATCCGAGAACATGGTCCCCACCGTCCCCCGGGTCATGTTCCTGTCGTAGAAGGAGGACAGCTCTTCCCGGTCCTCGTGGTCCGTCAGGGAGAGGCCCTAGGCCTGCCCCACTGGCTGGCACCCCTACCCCACCCCGAGGCATGTTTCCCATCCTCCCCGGCCTCTGAAGCTGGCGCCACCTCCCTGCCCCTCTTCCCCCGCAGACCCCGATGACCAGTACAAGCTGACGGAGGACACGCGGCAGCTGGGCCTGGTGGTGTGCAGGGGCACCTCCGTGGTGCTCATCTGCCCTCAGGACGGCATGGAGGCCATCCCCAACCCCTTCATCCAGCAGCAGGACGCCTAGCACTCGGGGTGGCCGACACGCTGCTTCCCCGGACCCTGCAGGGCTGCCCTCCCACCTTACTGGCCACCCGCAGGACCGGAACTTTCCTTTTTGTATAGATTGTGTTTTTGTTTTCTTAATAAAACTGCAAACCTCAAGTGTCCAGGAGCCCTGGAATCTTGCTCTCCACCTTGGTTTTCTGGTAAAACCTGGGTCCCTGGGATTTGGTTTGTCCAGCAGTTCCTTGAGCACTGGCCTTGGGCCCTGCGGGGCCTGAGGGGCTCAGACATGACCGAGTGCATGCTGTCCTGACAGAGGGACAGGGCATGGAGGCTGGAGCCTTTGCAGAACCCCCCAGGCCAGCCTGCGGTCCCAGGAGCATGGATGGGACACACACCTTCTCAGTGGCCCCACCCTGCCTCTGCCTTCTCCCTGCAGGGCTGCTCTGTGCTGGCCTGAGTGGTCCCCAGAGCCAGGTCCTTCTGGCTCACATTCCATATACAGCCATGACCTCACAGAGGACGAACCAGAGGAAGCCTGGCAGTCCGCCGGCCCCACGCCTGCGCTCTGCTGCAGCCCGAGGAGCCCCCCGCCCCCCCTCCGGGCCGTGCTCACCAACGCCCCCGTCCCCATCCTCAGGAAGCGGGGCCTTTTCCAGGCCCTGGTTTCCCAGGCCCAGTGTCCCAGTTAGGACCCTGCCCCCACGGGATCCTCCCTGCTGAGAGCGAGTGTCTGGCTCATCACTTGGGAGGGCTGAGGGTGAGCAAGAGGGAGGGGCCGGGAGTGAGAGTCATGCTGGGGGAAATCGTAGGCCGGCGGCCCCTCCACTCACAGCTGGGTCACCCAGGAAGCTGCCACAGAAGGGGACCAGGCTGCAGGGCCTCTCCCACTACCTGTCAACTGCTTCCACCAAGGAACCTGAAACCAGCTGCCTTATCCCCGGATCCGGGCTCGGCTGTGGCCCAGGCAGCATCGCTGCTGGGGATTAGCTGTGGGGCCGAGTGCTCACCCCCCCGCCCACTTCTCAGCTCCCCTGCCCGGGCCCTGCCATCTGGCAGCTCTGCCTCCACCGGCTCCCTGCCCCCTCATCAGCAGCCTCGGCCCCAGGCCCAAGCCCAGGCAGCTGGGCAGCGGGGGCGGGGGGGCCTGGGCTGGCTGGTGGGGGGAGTGCAGCCCCCGGGAGGCTGTAACCTAGAGTCTGGCACAGCCCACCCGCCAGCATCCAACCTCCATGTCCTGCACTGGGGGAGCGATTCCCCCAAGCCCGTCTGACAGCTGGGGGCCCAGGACTCCCACAGGGAGGTCACAGGATTGGGGGGACAGAGACTTGGACCCCAGAGTGTCTGTTCTCACCACACACCCAGCAGCTTGTCCGAGGCCAAGACACCAGGGCTGAGACTGAGACCTTGGGGCCAGAGGGGCCTGGCCCTCGGGTTGGGGCTGGGGGAGCGGTGAGGCTGGGAGGCTCTTCAGACCTCATTAGGGCTCGGAGGCAGCCCAGGGCCAGGATGGGAGGATGCCATGCCTTTCCAGCCCCAGCTTCTCGCACAGGAAGCAAGGCTCGTCCCTGGCGCCTCCCTGCCCCGTGCCCACAGCCCTCACAGCGGCCCCCTAGGCTTCAGACCACTCTCTACCCGCCCCGCACCTCCCAGCAAAAGTTGCCATGCGCAGCCACGATCTGGGGCTTCAATCCCCTCCCACCACTGGCTGTGTGGCTTAGAGTAAGTGCCCCAGCCTCTCTGCTGTCCCGCTCCTTCTCTCTTAAGCTCAAGAAAAGACACTGAATGTCTGCTCCACGGCCAAGCAATCCGCTCCTTGGCCAGGTGCTGGGCTGTAGTAGTGTGAGGAGTTGAGTAAGAAAAAAATCTTTGTGTTCAAGTCTGAGGATGAGAACAGAGTGCTCTGGGGGCCCGAGAAGGGGAGACCCTGACCTCCTGGAGGCTCAGGCAACACTCCCCAGAAAGGGGGATTAAAAAGAGCTTGTTCCACAGAACTCTTTCCACCCTAGAGAGTGAGTCACTTTGCCCTCGTTTGTAAAAGACTAAATAACCCACGTGCCCATCACTCGGGGATCTGCTGTCTAAACCCATGTTCCTCTGGCCAAATCCAAAGCGGCTTCTTAGAGAGGTAGATCTCTCTGGGCAGGGGTCCATCAAATACAGCCACAGATTCCCTGCAGCTTCCCTCACGAGAGAGGAATTCTGTTTCTGCCCCCACCGGAATCTGGGGACTTGCTTTGATGATAAGAATATGGTGGTTTGTCACAACATTGTAAACTGACTATACTTCAATAAAAATACATATATACAAAAAAAAAAGAATATGGTGGAAGTTATGTGAGGATTCAGAGCCCCATTTGCAAAGGAACCTGGTGGCTTCCACCTTTGTCCCCTTGGAACGCTGCCCTGAGGCCGCCGTTGTGGAAAGCTGGACCAGCTTACAGAGGTCGGTGGAGGTGGTCTGCGGCTCCTGGACCACAGCCAGCTCTGACCGCCCATGGACTTGTGAGGGTCTCAGCTTCTAGCCCAGGTGACCCTTCAGAGGAGCTTCGCCAACCCACAGAATTATGAGGAATAACAAAGTGTTTTATGCCACTCAGTTGGGGGATTTTGTTACGCAGCAGCAGGTCACTGAGACTTGCTGACACAGGCTGGTGACAACTGCAGAGTGAAAGCAAGTAGCAAACTGAATGTTCCTGGTGCAGCGCCGTGTACTTCAGATGGTCATTCTGAAGAAGATCTTGAGTTTCTGTGCTTTTAAATATATAGAGAAGGAGCATGTGGACTTGGGCTTGAAGATGGTGATCAGAGGGGAATGACAGCATATCTTCAACATTTTAATATTTCACAGGGAGAAATTTAATATTTTATATTTTATATTCAGTGTTACATTGAAATTTTAATATTTTACAAGGAGTCGGAGAATGAGATGGCCAGAGGCAGATACAGAGACGCAGAGAGATTTAGGGTGACAAGGACAGGCAGACACAAGGGTGGAGATTAGATCAGGAAGGAAGAAAGAAATCAGGACACAGTGACACTGGATCCCACCCTGCCCGCCCTCCTGGCCGAGGTATAAATCCCTGGCCCCGTCCAGCCCAGCCCGCCAGCCCACCATGCCGCTGGGAGGATGCCCGCTGACCCCTGCAAGGATCCCACCCTTCCAGCTCCCTGTCCAAGGGCAGCGCGCACCTCAAACAGCAGGCGGGGGCTGCGGCCAACAGACTGGGGGCCAGCCCTGCTCCACATGCCCACAGTCACCACGGCCCATGGCTTCCAGGTGCTGGCCCAGAGGCCTTGGGTGCTGTCTGAGGAGGCCCCGCTCTCGGACGCATCGCCAGAGGCCCTCGCAGACAGAGAGAGAGGGTCAGACCCTAGCTGGAGACCAGACCAGCCAGAGCTCCCCGGGACCCCGCCCCACGGCAGACTGCTGCGTTTCTCCAAGGTAGGCAGGCTCTGGACGCTGCTGACCGGCAGCCTGCCTGCTCCCCACAGCTGCCTTGTCCCCCAGACAGCTTTGGTCACAGGATGGGCTGGCACACACCTTCTGTTTCCCTTGGCCCTCCCCCAAACCCTTTCATTATCCCCATTCATGGATGAGGCGGCTGAGGCTCAGAGAGGTTGAGCAACACGTACTGGGTCACACAGCCAGGACCCTAACCCAAGGCGTGGGCTGCCTCCAGCACTGTCTGCCCCCCACACCCATCCTGTGCTCTAAAGCCTGTCTCATGGGAGCAGAAACTGAGTCCCAGAGCTAGCTGGGCGGGGTCACATGCAGGGGGTGGGGCAAACAGAGAGGGGAAGGAGCCATCTACCCACATGGCCCCAGGAGCTGAGAGACAGCAGGCCCATGCTCTCTTGGTCAGGTGGGGTCCTGCCACCCACAGCCCCGGGGAGCCTTCGTTCCACCTTGGAGGACCAGCCTCCGCGATGCCGCAGAGCCCTGTGCTCCCCTATGGCGACCAGCACAGGGATGTCCGACTCCAGATCTCCTGACCAGCGAGGCGGGAAAGGAATCTAGTTCCACTTGGACTCAGATGTGGACGTGGATGTAAAAGGAAGAGGCTTTTCTCACCGGGGAAACCTAGCAATCGGGGGTGGGGGGGCGGGGGGTGGCACCTGGATCCCTGGGGCTGTTGTTTCGAGCTCAGGCTGGCCCAGGGTGCAAGTGAGGGTGGCCCCGCGGGCCTGGCCCTCCCGCTTCCTGCTTCCTCCCCAGCTCCAAGCCTTCCCCAACTCTGCAGGAACAGGCCCCCACCCCCGCCTCTCCCATCAGCCCTGGAGGTCATGGGGGCGGGCTCTGACACTCAATAAACGTGCTCTGCTGACAGTGCATTCTGGCCTCCCTGTCTTCCCATGCTTTCCGCCTGTGTTCAGGGCCAAGGTCACCACCTTGAGTCACCCCCACCAGCGCCCACCCTGTCCCCAGCCATGCTGACGGGAGCCAGCAGAGGTCAGGCCTCATCCAGGAATGAAGAGCCCAGATAGAAACATTCCTGGCCTGTCTATCAGGAGGTCTGACGGGAGGGGGCGGGGAGGGGGCTGGCGACCAGGAGCCTGAGATATAGGCGGCATAGCCTTGGGCCCCACCCTCATTGCTGAGAAATTCTGAGTTCCCCTTCCCTGCCCCCGTCTCCCCCAAAGCACCAGATCCACACCACTGCGTGTCTTAGAGGAACCCCCAAATTAACGTGCCCAAGCTGATGGCCCGCTTCTGCCTGCCACCCCCCAGCCTTCCTCATCCGGGACTCAGTCCCCACAGCGAGCCCTCTTGCACAGGTCCGAAGCCCTGAGGTCGCCCTTGAACTCCCCGCAAGCCCCATGCATCAGCACTTGCCAACAGCTCTACTTCAGAGCTTAGCCTGAAGCGTTTAAGAAACAAACTGGCTACTTAACACCAACCCAAACTCAGAAACCAGAGGAGGGAGGAATATACCCCACCTCTCGTGTGAGGGCAGCATCAGCAAAACATGTCAAAGGTACAGCAGGAAAGGAAAACCACTGGCCCGTATCTCTCAAGAGTGCAGATGCAAGCACCCCTAACAAAAGCACCAGCAGACTGGATCCAGCTGCCTACACCAAGGGCGGTGCGCTGTGACTGCCCTGGGGTCTGTGCCGGGAGCACAAGGTTTACGTCACACTGGAATATCCATCAGTGTCATTCACCACGTTGACAGAATAAAGGAGAAAAACCACATGGTCATGTCATATCTCAAGCAGAGGCATCTGACAAAATTCAACATCCATTCGGATTAAAATCTGGGCAACTAGAAATAGAAGGGTTTCCTCGACCTGATAAAGGCCACCTGTGAAACCCTGACAGCCAACAACACCGTGAACGGTGGAACACGGGGTGCTTGCCGCCTAAGACCAGGAGCAAGGCAAGGATGGCCACGGCAGCCTTGGACTTTGTACTTGAGAGCCTAAACAGTGTAATAAGATAGGAAAACGAAATCAATGATAAGCGTTGGAGAAGAACTAAAATGGTCTCTATTTGCAAAATCTGAAACTGGTTCCTGATGCAATAATTACTTACTGAATTACAATTACTTGCTGAAAATTCTTGCTGTGATTCAGGCCCCAGCAGCCCCTACCTGGATCACAGTGGTACCTGCCTCCTCTCATCTCCCTGCATCTCTTCACATTCTCCCACTTCCAGCAGCAGGTCAGATCAGACCACGTCACACACATACACACCCTGTACTTAAACTCTCCAGTGTCTTCCCATCATGTCCAGACAAAATCTGAACTCCTGGGTCCTCCAGGTGTGCGGGATCTCACCTGTCCCCATGTCTGCCCTCGCCTCCTTTCTCTTCTCTGTGGTGCTCACTCCACTTCACCCCACAGTGGCCTCCCTGCCAACCCTAGAGCGCATTGGGTTTGCTCCTGCCCCAGGGCCTTTGCATGTACTATTTGTGCTCCTGAACAATGTTTCCTCTCACAAGCCTCATCCCTTGCTTCCTCCAGGCCATCACTCGATCGAAGACTTTCCCTGACCCTCCTTCCCAAACAGCCCCCTTCCTGATTACCACAGCTGCAGGGTTATCCACGGCAGCGAGTTTAATCCTTAGCCATCATCCGCACTTACCTTACAACGGCTGAGTATTTCTGTGTTTTCTGCCTGTCGCCAAACACAAGTTCATGTGCCTGATGCACGGTGAAGCCACAAAGCACCAAAACGTGGGAATTTGGAGCGAGAAAGTTTTACTTCTGGGCAGAGCAAGGAGAAATGGTAACGCATGCTCCTAAAACCCTGAACTCCCTGAAGGGCTTCTGCTGGGCATTTTTAAAGGCCTGCTGAGGGAGGGGCAGCCAGGGTCAGTGATCCACTGTGCACCCTTCTCTGTTGTTTGATGGTGCTCAAATCCTTAGCCATCAGGAGGTCTGGGGGCCACGTGCTTATGATCAAGTAGTTAATTTCTTCCATTTGGTGGTAGTTTTTAGCATCTGAAAAACTGAGGAAATATTCATGAAACAGTTATCCAGGTAATTCAGAGAGAAGCTGCAGCAGAGAATACTGGGCAGGGGGGTCTGTGCCAGGAAGGCCTCACAGGGTCCTGGTCACTTACATGTCCACCCACCCCCAATCCGTCTAGTTCCATCAGGTCAGGGGCTGCGACCGTCTCAGCCTTGTAGCCCAGGTGAAATGCCAGGTACCCCAAGGGTACCAGGCACGGGGGGTACACCGTGGGAGCTGAACGATCAGCCAAATCCAAAAGGTACTAGTTTCTTCCACAAACACATTGTTAGGAGAAACAGAGAGAGAGAGAGAGAGAGAGAACTTATACGTTAAAAGAGGTATCAGCCAACTGCAATGAATGGCTTTGATCTGGATCCTGATTTGAACAAAGTGTGGGGAAAAAAAATTTACAAGACAGTCAAGGAAATTGTGCCCTGGTTGGACGTTTGAGAATAATCAGGAGTTACTGTCAATTTTTTTTTAAGATTGATAAAAGAGTTGTGGGTTATTTAAGATCTTGTATTTTAGAGATACAAATATTTACGCCTGGATTTATGGATACAGTGTCAGAGATGTGCCGGTGACATAGTCTGTTTGGGGGTGGGGAGGGTCCTGATGACACCAGAAGGACCACACGTTAGCGACAGGTCCCTGGGGTTGTGTTCCTTGCAGGATTCTCTCAGCTTTTGCTTGTGTTTGAAAATGTCCATAATCAAAAGCTAACATAAGCACAGGGTTCCCTTGGGATCTGCTGGGGGCTATTCATTTCTATGTGTATCAGAGGAGAGGGTTTTTTTTTTAATGTTTTTTTAAACTCTGAACCCAGAACTTGCTTGGGGGAACAGGGCTACACAAACCCCATCCTCATGCTCCCTCTCTAGAACACTCTATGGCTCCCAGCTTCCCTTCAGGTAAAGTCAGAGTGCCTTTTCCATCTTGACTTAATGCTCCATGCTCGAGGCTCTGCAAGCATACTCTCTCCTTGTGACTTTGTTAAATCAGCAGTGATTCAGTGGAAACCTGGGGGTGCAGGGTTTGAGGGTCAGCCTCAGTTCAACCAAAGATTACAAGGGAATTGAAACAGAGAAGTCTGTTACTCACAGTCTCTAGGGGAGGATCACGGCATGCGTTGGGGGGCCACACGGGGAGGTCAAGGCAGGGGCAGGCAGAGACCGCTCATGGGACTTGGGGCTGGTGCCTTTGTTAGGGCCCGAGGGCGGAGTGCTGTGGGGTCCCTAGGCTACAGCTAGATCGGTCAATTCCATAATAAAAAGAGTGGGGTTTTTGTGAGCTCCACAGGGCGCACACGGGGAGGCGGGGATGCGTGGCGGTGCCTGTTTACCACAATCACATCAGAGACCTACAGTAACCGGGGACCAGGGGGCTGTCATCTAGGGCAGCCTTGCGCAATGAGCTAATGGCAGTGCCAGGCCCCTGTTTGGACACACAAAACGGCCACCAAGGCCCAGATGCCACGTCCAGGCAGCCCTCTAGGCCCTCTGCCCCAGGCGGGCCCCTTCCACCCTCTGTGGCCCTCAGAGCTCGCCCTGTGATGTCTGCCTTGCAGTCTAGCTTTTGGGCCCTTTGTGTGGTGGGAGCTGCCTGTGGGGTCCCGGCATCCCCACACACAGCCTGAGGAAATGCTGGCTCAGTAAACCCTTCCTGGCTGTGCGCGCAGAGCGGGCAGTCTCGTAAGTAGCACAGGTCCCCGCCTTCCTCCCAGCCGCCTAGAGGGACTGGCTGTTATGATTCCCACATACCAGCTGAGGCTACTGGGGCCCAGAGAGGCTAGGTCATTAGCTTAAGGTCACCCAGCGGGGACCAGGCACAGCCCCAGGGCCTCAATCCCTCTGCTCTCATGCCGGCCAGGAACCCAGGACTCTGCTCCCACCACAAGAGGGAGCCACTTGTCTGGGGCCACACCTGAGGCTCCCAGGCCACCTGCCCCACAGCCTCTCTCCCCTGGCCCCGTCCATCAGTCCAGA